ACCCAAATGAAAATAAATTCGAAGAATTTTTTATAATATTTTGGGTGCCTGACCCCAAATACAGTGAAATAAACCAAACGAAACTAAACCAAACAAAGCTTTATGTCCCAATCAAGTGGGCTACGATACGCGAATCCTTTTTTCGTCATTTCATACTATTAAAGGATATATGCTCAGTTAAATTAAATAAATTCGTTTAATTTTTTTACTATCACATCCCAAGTCAATTTACGTCTTCCCCTAACATTTCCTTTTACGATGAACCTATCACATTATTCTCTACCATATCATGAGCTTGTTGTTTCTTAATTGTCCAATATTATGTGAACTGCAAAGTATCACTGGTCTTACAATTGTTTTATAAATTAACAACGTCAATTTTGGTAGCATCATTGATCACATAATATGCCAAAGGCACTCCATTTGAACCTACTTTGATTCTATTACAGGTGGGAATTTCTAACACAACATGAATCGTACACAAAGTTAGGGGCTACGGTTGAACATTTTCAACACAAACACAAATATGACACTATATAATAACATGATAAATAAATAGGGTTATGTCAAAGCTGCATAATATGAAATTGACACAGATAACCTATTTAATAGATAATTAGTTACAAATTTTAATGTTATTTTCATTAAAGGATGCCAAAAATGTTTAAATCTCTTATGTAACCTACGCAATTAAATAAAGAAAATACATAAAATAGTATTTTCAGGTTAATATAGTCATTTTGTCTTTTATTTGAGAGAACATGATCTTTTCATTTATTATTTTGAAATCAATAAAAATATTTTTTTTTTAATAAAATAGAGTCAAAATTAATTTTTTTTTTTTTTTTATAATTTCATTTTGTAGAGATTAGTTTCATGAAATTTAATTTAGGAAAAAACGTTAATCTTTCCATACACTTAGTATTTTTAATTGAAATTCATATTATATTTGTCATTTTTTTGAAAGATAAAATTGACTTTAACCTCCTTTGCTTTATTCCATGTGTGATTTACCTCTGATATTTGAAAATAAGAACATAACCCCCTTATGACCTAGCACATGTTTCACACTTGATATTAACTTAGATTGAACGTCTGATGGTATACTTCATTTACTCCACAAACCACAAGAACATTATAGTTATTTCCAAATTATATGGGTAGTTTGCACATGCACATTGAAGTGAAATTTGCCCTTTATTAAATATGCACAATGTCTTGAATTGAATAAATACACCTAGAGGGTAAAATAGTATAGTGAAATAAATCATGTGACAAATACCATTTCTCATATAGTATAATAGGCGGCAGATTCAAGTATACAACCCCACCTTGATTTTACTAAGTGAAATACTGAATAAAGGTGTATATATATGTAGTACTATTATAAAGAGAAGTCTTCTCTGGGTGTTTACATCTCATATTTTGGATTTTTCAAAAATACCCCTATATCAGTTATATGGGCAGTTATGCACTAAATTCATTTTTTTTTCTTTTTCAAATCTCTCAACATTTGATTTTTTCAGATTCATTTCAATTTTCAGATTTTGAATTCAATCATACAGTTTACAATCTTATTTTCTAAAACAAAATGATCAAATATATGTAAGCATGTGATCCTCGAATTGAAATTGGCAGTTCACCTTATTTCTCAATTCATGAATTTCATAATATGAATTTCAATTCTCAATTCTCAATTCTCAATTATATGAATTTCATAATATGACATTAACTATTCTCAATTATATGAATTTCAATTCGCATGATTTTATTCTTAATTAAAAAAAATTATTTTTAAAACCCTAATTTCAAACCCTAATTTCCTTTTAATTCCTCTTAATAAGCAAAAAATAAAATTTCCAATTCAACAAATATACGTTGGTTTATTCACAATTCAAAATTCCAAACCCTAATTTTAAAAAATATAGACAGGATTCACCAGCATAATTTCTGATTTCTGATTCACAAGCAAAACTCCAAACCCTAATTCCAAACCCTGATTTCTGATTTAAAAAAATTCCAAACCCTAATTTCTGATTTCAAAAAATTCCAAATCCTAATTTCTGAAACCACAAGCATAATTTCTGATTTCACAATTCAAAACCCTAACATTTTATGATTTCATAATTTCATAACCACATATTTAAAACCCTAATTCAAAACCCTAACACATTTAATAATTGACATTTAAAACCCTAACATTCACATTTTCACAAACACACATTCACATTTTCAACCACACATTCACATTTTCACAAACACAATAAATAAATACATAAAATTCAAATGAGACAGAGAGAGATAGATGCCATACCACGGACAGAGAGAGAGCAGAGACAGAGAGTAAGAGCAGACAGAGAGTCTAAGAGTAGAGGGAGAGCGAGAGCGACAGTGAGAGTCTGAGAGCAGAGGGAGATCAAGAGCGAGAGTGAGAGAATCTGAGAGCAGAGGGAGATCGAGAGAGGGAGATCGAGAGCAAGAGTCGAAAAAACGTAAGTGTAAAAAAAGTGATTGCAAATGAGGGGGCTTGGGTGTTATATATAAGCTATAAAAGCGTGGTTTCAATCCACGCATTCATTTATCAACAGTGAAAGCATAATTTCAAATCACGTTTTCTTAACAAAAAACAATGCACAGTGAAAGCGTGATTGCAAACCACGTTTTCTTCAGAAAAAAAAAAAAATTTAGAAAACAAATTTATGTTAAAAGCGTGGTTTGTAACCACGCTTTCTTAATTAAAAGCGTGGTTTGTAATAGTGCTTTCACTATTCATTAAATTTTCTGCTCCAAACAGTAAAAGCGTGATTTGTAATAGCGCTTTAGCCTAGTTTGGAAATTCCGTCCAAACTAGGCTTAGTTTGGAAATTAAGATGGTAAATTGGCTTAATATGGGAAAAGCCTCTTCAATATAGACCATGTCACCTGGTGAAGCTACAGAATTCGGGTCTTTTGCAGGGTGTATATTAAGAGGTTTTTGGTAAGTATGATTTTGAGGAAGAGTTGCAGTGGCATGACAAGAGGCAAAGGAAGGAGTCTCTCATGTCATTGAAATCCTAGATGAGTCGAACATTTCATATTTATGGGTGAACTATCAGAAGGGTGAACTATAAGAAGAATAAACCTGAAGCTGCATAAGTTGGCAAAAAGAAAAAGTATTTACACTAGTGTGTGGTTGTGGGCCATAAGAAATTGGATAAGGCGTTGCTCCTCCCGATATTTTGTATGACTGTCAAGTATTTGCAAACAATTGTTCCATTAAAGTAAGCTAATCTCAATAAGTAATTATCTCATTGTAGAATTCTTGAATGAAATTATCTTTCTGACCAACACTGCGAATAGACATATCAAGTTCATACTGTTTTGCAAAGTTAAACTCAAGGTACATATTTTTCAAATAGTCCCAAACTTATTTGGAAGTAAAATATTTGAAAAAATTCATACCAATAGTAGTTTGAACTGAATTATGAAACCAAGTTAGGATTTGTGCATTTTCCTTACCCTATTTAGCAACCCCTACCTCAATTTCTTTAGTTTTCTCAGATCTAACACTGTGTTTGGAAACCTAGGAGAGAGAAGAAAAAAAATGATTACTTAAGTAATAAGAGAAAAAAAAAAAAATTATTGTGATTTCTCTCATTTTTATTTGGATAAAGAAGAAATAAAAGAAAAGAAATGATTATGATTTCTCTCATTCTTGTTTGGTTAGATTTCATTAAGAGAAAAGAAAAAAAAATTATTTTATGTTACATTACCAAAATAACCTTTTGTATTTTCAATCATTTTATTTATTTTATTTTTATAGGGACAAAATTGATATTATAAAAATAGTGGTTTCTTTTCTCTTCCAATCTCTTCACTTTTGGGAAGGCTTATAAGAGAATGAATTTCTCTCAATTTCTTTCTATTTTTCTCCACTTAAATTATCCAAACAAGTAAGAAAAATGCATATCTCTCCATTTCTTTTTTTCTCTCCCCAAATCACTCAATCCAAACATAACGTAACTGTCACACCAATAACATAACTCCACGTGCCTTTACCATTATAAAGCTTTTCATTACTTTAGACCAACGACTTAGTGGTGATTGCTTGCAATTTATCCTGACATATTGCTAAAATCAAAACAGTACAATAAACAAATAGAGGATTACCAGACCAGATTGAAGTCAGATATATTCACCCAGAAAGATCAAAGTCAGATGGTTGCAAGATTCCAACTTTGCTAAAACACAAACAGAAAGGCAAATGATGTCAACTGGTTACAAGTCACAAGGAGTTCGAAGCAGCCACACAGAAAATCAAACCAATAACTGAGTCGATTTCTGAGGACTGCAAAGAAAACAAAGGCAGCAGCATAGCAAAAGCAGTGGCAAAAACAAAACAGAGCAACGAAACAGAAGCAGCAGTGAAACAGAGAAGAAGAGAGAAACCGAAAGGAGATGGTGAACACTGAAGCACTGCTTCAGTCGAATGGTTCAAAGAAGAACCCATGAATAGAGGTCTGCCACAAACGAAAAATAAATAAAATAAAATAAAAACCACTGCTTAATGAGGGGAGCACCTCCGAAGGTGTGCAAAAGAACTATGATGGCTTGCAAATGCTAATGATGAAGTGCAGAAACTAGGTCAGCAACCGTTTGTATGGCTCTGATACCACGAAACAAAGGTGAGAGAAAAGAGAAATATATGTATTGAATTAATTAACCAAAGGGGCCGAGTACAAAATATGTACTAAACACAATAAAATCTTAATAACCTAATTATAAGAATAAGACTAAGCTACTCTTGCGTTGTGTTTGGTTGGGGAATTTGAAAAGGGAAAGGAAAATGGATAAGTTAGGTGAAATGTGAATAAAATATACCTACATTTCACCTAATTTCACACGCCTTTTCCCTTTCCAAATCATTTCCCAAATCTCCTAACCAAACACAGCATTAATGAAATTACGGAATATTAATAATATAAAATACATAGAATACACATGCACAAGACAATGGAACATGCACAACACAATACAGGGAGAGGAACTTACGGCTTCACATTTGTTCCAAGGGACCTAATACTGAAAGCATATAAAACCATTATTATCCAAGCATTTATGGAGAATTTATGCCCAACAAAACTGATAACTAATTCTTCTGCCAAGGGGTCTCTCTCTCTCTCTCTCTCTCTCTCTCAAATCAAAGAGATCTAATAATGATATAATTCTATAATTATTGGCACAACGAAATCATCAATAATTTATTCACTTCAATGCAATATATTGGATGGAGCTATAGCTTTCTTGACAGGATTCTGAGTAGATGGAATTTGAAATAGAATTTGCAACCCCCTTCTTCAATGGAATTTTCAACCATCACCCTGTCCAAGATTGAGGACAATGTTTGCACTCTTTGGTTTTCTGCAGCAGGATCTTCAAATTGAAAATTCAACTCTTACAGCCTCATATGACCAAAGCCTCCCTTAAACGAACTGAAAAGAGGCCGTGACCTCCTGAAACTGAAAATATCATCTATTCGGACCATGTTGGGTTTGGTTGGTTCGCTTTGGTCTGTTTTGTACTCGGAAGAATGCAAGCCTCCATAAACTTGCGTGCTCAATGACTTCTTTCGAGGAGCACCGACTTTTATATATTCATTAAAAAAATCTATCAATTCCTTTTGAGTCAACTGCTTCAGTGCTGCAACCTGTTTCATTGTCAATAGCAAGCACAACAGTGATGGATTATGGATCTGCTAATGCAAAAAATAATACATTTAATATAAAGAAAACGATCAATCCCTTCAGAGTTAAACTGCTTTAGTGCTGCAACAGTGCAACCTGTTTTCATTGCCCCAATAGTGCACACCAACAATGACAGATTATGGATCTGCAAGTCTAAGATGTTCAGTTTTGGATGGGTTTGGGAGCAGTTGCTTAATTACAACTTCACCTCTAAAAGAGTGCTCCGATATTGGGATGTACCCATCCAAGTGGCAGGTCATCGCTTAAAATGGGAAATAGGTGGATGAAATTCAAATCATAATCATGGAATATTTTGACAAATTGTACAGGTACAATAGATCTTCATACCTCACATTCTCTCCGGTCAAATTTGAGAGTCCCATCCGAAATTTCTCGCCAATAAAAGGAAGATTCTTCCCTTAAATTCTTGTGCTTCTCAAGCTTCATATCAATCAGTGCATTGACATTACTCTGCGCAACCAGTTCAGAAGCTTAGAGTTTTTCAGAAAGGCAGTGCTTTTAAAATCAAGATATCACAGAGACAAATAACAATTCTGATGTTTCATGAAAAAGAACATTAACAATCACAACACATCTTGTAATAAACACCTACATACAGCCTGTACCTCTGTTTTAGTAGGGCTACAATCTGTTTAATAAACAATTATTCACACGTTCAAGGGCTAAGCACCAAGTTTGCATGATACAACACCATATGACAATGGCATAGCACAACAGTAAATGATTTCTAATGTTCCATGACATTCAGTTCAAGTAATGTGATTAAGCCTGTGTTTGGATCATGGATTTGGGTAGCAATTTGAAATGGCAAAGGAAAAAGGTAAGGTAAATATGAATAAAATATAAGCTAAATTTTCATTTTCATTTTCATTTTCATTTCCCTTTCCCTTTCCATCCCTATCCAAATCCATGATCCAAACATAGCATAACAAAAAATCCATGATCCAAACATAGCATAACAAAATATACAAAAATTGTCTAGTCCTAAGAAGCACATACACTTCCAAGCTATGAAGCACGTTTATGGGTATTGGTACGGTAGAGGTAAGTCAATATGGTAACACTCCATTTGGATGGTGGGGTGCATAAAGAAAAGAAAATAAATGATTGCGATCTCTCATCTAGTATAGGTGAGAAAAGAGTACAAATGATTATTTTTTCTATCATAGCAAAACTTGTGATACAGGGATATCAGTGGAATATCTTTTTTCTTCCTTTGTATTTTAATGGGCAATATTGGTATTATGAAAACTATACAACCAACGACGTTTCTCACCAAATCTCACCACTTTTGGTGAGAAATGAAACCTATAAAATAATAGAGTTCCATTTCTCATCTTTTTCTTATCATTTCTTATTATTTCTCACCAAATCACTTAATCCAAACGGAGTCTAAAATCTAAAAGTGGGATATGTGTATGGCTAGGTACATTCGTAAAAAAATATTTATTTTAAATTTGAAGTAATGCAAATATTAATTAAATGGTTTACTTGGTTATAATCCAACCTAGAATTCACATTTAATGCCAAAAGTAAAGTATAAACCAAAATTAAATGTCATTACATTAAATACCTTACAAATCAAAGCTTAATTTTAAAATCATGTTAAACATTAAAAAAAAAATCCAATAAAACTAACTTCATTTTCGTATTGAAGAAGATATTATTCCGGTTGAGGTACGGCTTAGGTGTATACTAGGATATTGAAAAAAATAAGACGAAATAATTGATTACGTGCTCTTGTACTCCATACGTATGTACCATGCAAAACACCAGTACCCTTTACAGGTATGACATGATTGTCAAAGTACTCATGCTTCAAAACTTCTAAGGTGACATATCCATGTCAGACACTGACGCTCATTGGGCACTTCTTGACAAGTGTCAGACAATAGTCCCACCGTGTCTTATTACTCTTCGGACACTTAGGAACATACGTGTCGATTGGTTAAACACACAAGTTTGAACCAAAAAAACTTAAGATTTAATGATAACAGGAAAACAATGTAGATTTATAAGAATTCATGTTATGTTGTATTTTTTATTATCTTTGAATGATTTATTCATATATTTGACATATAATAAACATAGGAATTTGTGTCCTGCATTTTTTTTTTTAAATTGCCATGTTGGTGTGCCTATGTTGTGTCTCGTGTCCGTATCCATACTTCTTAGATTCAGTACGTATGTTTGAGCGGGGTAAAAAAATTCAGCAATGAAACATATAAGAGTGAAATGATGCACTAGCTAATGTAAATTAGTGGAAATCAAACCATGAGTGCAAATTATGCACCAGACCGTGAAAAAAAAATCCATTAGTAACTTGCAGTTCAAACTTAAAGTAAAGTTGTAATTCCATGAAAGAGCATCATTTCATGACTTAACACATTCCCTTGTCAAAATGACAATTCAAATCAATAAGCTCAAAAGAATGAATGACACACAATGTAGAAGTAAACAAATGCTTTAGTCAAAGATTACCAACACTCAATGTATCCACAATAGAACTTGGATAACCGTAGCATGGTAGAAATGGTCTTACAGAATCCAAATGTAGCAAAAATTGAATTGTTTCTTATAGTATGGACACAGAAAATCCATGTCCTATAAAATATAAAACATGGACGGGGTTAGAAGATAATTGAGTAATAGCCTTGGCGAATGGACCAACAGTATGTCCACATGGGCAAAGTTTGCAAAACTGTGGTTCCACATAGAGCTGAACTCCTATCTATACACACAAAAAAGGCAGTGCAACTCAGAACCTTATTTTTTCACACACGCCCACCAATCAAATCAAATATTTACATCGTTTTCAAAAATAATAGGAAAAAAGTAATGGTCATTATATATTTTAAAACTCCTTAAAGAACAAAATGACCATGAGAAATAAGCTGTACAAGTTCACAACAATATTCCATGGCCAAACTTTTTAGATCTTCACCACTTCCTCTTTAGTTTTTTCAAACTTTTTCCTGCAAAGTTTCCTAACAAAAAATGCATGTTTCCACGAATTGTTTTGCATCTACTTCTACAAATTGGATAGCAACAACCAAGGAAGAGCACCAAAAAATCTATTGGAGTCGTTAAAGGACAAGAACCAATGGTGGAATTACAGTCACTGAGCTGGCATGGGAAAAGAATATTACAAATAAATAAATAAAAAATCAAAGTATTGTTTAATATTATCATGCTCCTTTCTAAAAAGGATGACAATGGAATACAATCTAATATGAAAAATTGAACAGTCCCAAAATTAGCTCTCCCAAAATTTTGGCTTTAAATTAGATTTAATCACATAACAAAATCTTTCTTAATTTAGTAAAATTGCAGACTTCCGGCTTAACTATATACTAATTAGCAATCCTTTTGAATTCTGTGTGTGTTTGGAAAATATTCTCAACAAAGCATATCTAAGTTTTGGGGCCACCACTTTGTGCATTATGTCAAAGGTTAGGTGTCTAATATGAAAAATTGAACAGTCCCAAAATTAGCTCTCCCAAAATTTTGGCTTTAAATTAGATTTAATCACATAACAAAATCTTTCTTAATTTAGTAAAATTGCAGACTTCCGGCTTAACTATATACTAATTAGCAATCCTTTTGAATTCTGTGTGTTTTTGGAAAATATTCTCAACAAAGCATATCTAAGTCTTGGGGCCACCACTTTGTGCATTATGTCAAAGGTTAGGTGTGTACTCAATTTTTCCCCTCCCAAACACAATGTGTACTAATTAGGCCTTTTTTTTTTTTAATGTATACGTAGCTATATTATGGATGGCATTATAACATTTGATAAAGCTTGATTCAAAACATAGACACAAAACAAGCACTCTTGAGCCTTGTGTATTAATAATGAGTTTCTTCTCTTCTTCTTAGAAGTTTAATATCCAAAAAATAGTACTAGAAATACTTTCAAATTGGAACGACATAAAACTTGAGACATAAACTATTCATTATTATATTCAAATTGTGTTTGATACAATATTTGCATTGTGTTTAAGATTATCATTTGAAGTTTTAAGGTTCATTTAATCAAACATCTTATATATATATATATATTATTTTCTTGCATACCCACAGATTTATATATATAGATAACAAAAATGTATACATTTTCAACCAGCCACCCAAGGTAAAACTTCTGATTCTATCCGTGGTGAGAACCGTTTGTCCTTCCACGAGTGAAGCAATTACATTATTAAGTTCTAAAAACAAACTTAATTCAAATTGTGTTGATACAATATTTGAATTGTGTTTAAGCGTATCATCTAAAGTTTTAAGGTGCATTTAATCAAAACATCATATATATATATATATAATTTTCTGGCATACCCACAGATCTCTGTATATAGATAATAGAAATGTATACATTTTACAACCTGCCACCTAAGGTAAAATTTATGGTTCTATCCCTGATGATAACCGTTTGTCCTTCCACGAGTGAAGCAATTGCATTATTAAGTTCTAAAGACAAACTCAATTCAGGTCATGAAGTAAATACCAAGAAGCTAAGAGAAAGTTACTTGGAAGAGTCACGTTGTTACTCACCTTGAATTCATCACCGGACATCTCATAAAGTTTACTTGCAAACATCTCGAGGAACGCCTCTACTCTTAAATCAATTTGTCTAGGATCCTGCCAAACTTATCCAAGAGTGCTTTAGTTGAGGTGATGAAGCAATGCATTGAATAGAACAATTCTATATACCTTTATAGTGGATTGAATGATAAACTGGAGTCCACGGATACCAGAATCATTCCTACAATAGAAATAAATTTCAAACCTTAAAACAAGAAAAACAAATTCAATTTTGAGTTATGAAGAACAGAAACTCCAATTTAGTCAACGTACCCGTGTTTGATACATGCTAGAACCAGACACGTTGAGATACATGTCAGACATGCTACATGACATGTCAAATTATTTATTTATTTTCGCTGGACACATTCAGAGACATGTCAAGGACATACGTGTCCTGTGTCTAGACACGTCATATGACACATTTGGGATTTTATTATATTTTAGAGAGGTGGTTTGGGGGTTGAAGTATAGTATTTGGAAATAACAGGGCAGAACTAAGGGTGATATAGTGCACGAGAGTCCTACAAAACTTGAATCCAAGGAGAGCAAGATTTACGCAGCCTCACCCCTAGTTCTGGAGAGACTTTTTTCCCCATGAAATATGAGGGTTGAAATTGAAAAAGAAAAACAATCCCAAAATGTTCAATCTTAGATGTTTCTAATTTGTGCCTTCAAATTCAATTGAGAGAGGCAGACAGCACATCTTAAAAAAACCAGTTCCCCCTCTTATGATATTCTTGTGTTTCTATTATCTACGTCGGTTTATGTTGGTTTTGTGGAATTTTTGGACAAACTTTGGTAAACGTCGACACCATATTATTACTTTTTTTTAAAAAAAAAAAAGAAAGAGAAGAAAAAAGGTAGGGGATTTATATAATTTATTGATGAATGATTCATTATCAAATTTAAATGCTTTTTACCTTCCTAATTTAATGGTTCATAATTGGTGAAATAATTTTCAATGATGTTTAGAATATATATATATAGAGTGATTTTTCATATTGAACTAGTGTTAGTTTTTCATTATTTTTGGTTTATGGATAGAATTATATAAATAAAGTATTTTGTTGTATTCCTGGGGTGTCCGTATCCTAATTTTTTGAAGATCATTGTGTTCTACATCCGTGCCCATGCCCTTGTCCGTGTCTGTACTTGTGCTTTTTAGATTTTGAACTATCAAGTCAAGGAACAAAAAATGATAATATACCTCTGCATGAGCACAGTAATGTACCCAAGTTGCTCAACTGATCTAAGCTGGTGAAATGCTGGTTGTTTCGCAATCAAAGCGAAAAGCTGGAGTGTAACATTCATCTTGAAATCATCTTGATGAACCTAAATATTTTAACAAGTTCGATGTATTAGAATTTAGAACCAAGGGACAATTCATCAAGCAAAGCTGAAAGGCATTGGCAAATGTAGGAAGCAGAACAAACAAATTGATTCACTTCTAATAAACTTCTTACTCATCCAAAATAAAAAAAATAAAAAATTAATAATACTAATAATAAACCAAACTAAACCAAACCAAGCCTTAAGTCCCATCAAATAGGGTTGGGCACATGAATCTTTCTTCTCCACGCGGCCCTATCAAAGGCCATTTCGTTTGTCAAATTAAGTAGATCCATATCTCTATTTACAACGCTAGCTAACGTTAATATAAGCCTACCCCGTCCCCTAACATTTCCATCTACTGTTATAGCATTGCATCTCTGCACTACTGCCTCTATTGGTCTCCGTTGAATATAACCAAACCATTTCAATCGATTTTCTCTCAACTTATCTTCTATCGGTGTTACTCCTACCCATTCCCGAATATACTCATTCTTAATTCTGTCTTGTCTAGTCTTGCCACACATCCACCTTAGCATCCTCATCTCAGCCAAACTCATCTTATCTACATGTTGTTTCTTGGTTGCCCAACACTCTGTCCCATACAACATCGTTGGTCTAATAGTCGTTCTATAGAACTTACCTTTTAGTCTAGTAGGTATTCGTTTATTGCACAGTACCCCAGACGTACTTCTCCGCTTACACCATCCCGCCTTAATCCTATGGGTCACATCTGCATCAATCTCCCCCGATGCTGTGATAATCGACCCTAAATAACAAAAATGTTCACTCCATATATTCTGTCTTAGTTCTACTTATCCGGAATCCTTTAGATTCAAAAGCTTTTCTACAAATCTCCAACTTTGTATTAACTCCTTCTCTAGTCTCATCCACTAGCACAACATCATTTGCAAAAAGCATACACCATGGCACGTCATCCTGAATATTTCTCGTCAACTCATCCATAACTAAAACAAAAAGATAAGAATTTAAGGTAGATCCTTGGAATAACTCTACAGTGATAGGAAATTCATTTGTCTCTCCAACAGGCGATCTAATAGTGATCACCACCCCTTCAATGTAACCTTTTGTCACGCTTTTCTTCTCTAACACCCATCATATTATATCCCGAGGCACTCTATCATATGCTTTCTCAAGATCGATAAACACCACATAAAATAAAATCCATAAAATGTAAATGTTACAAAATTTCAATTTATATGTTTCATGTAAGCCTTATAAATCTACCCATGGACATAAAATTTTAGTGTTATGTTAGGAGTAAAAGACATTAGCACCATTGGCTACCTCAAGGTCCCGGCAATGTGCTTTTTGTATGCTAGGGCCACACATCAGCAATATATTAGCATTCAGCAAGGAGCAGTCACAACATTTGTGACATTAGTGCGCTTGGGGATTATCATTTAACAGGAAAGTCTATTACATCCCAATTCTTGGGTCCTTCAACCCTGCCCCTTCATTTTTCAATCTGTATGCTTGAATTATAATGGGGAAATAACAATTCAGTGGAAATTTTGAAAGTTCATTACAAATCAGTAATGAAGTTTATAAATATTAATAATTAAATTCTTGAACTTTTTCATGAATTTGTAATATTTTTATGAAAACACCACTGTCTCGTAATTTCCCCATCATAATTCCTCTCCCAAATGTCAGAATAAAAAATGGTGCATTCACACACCCTAACTATATCAAACAAATAAAAATCATTTTTCTTCCCCAACTCAGTGAATATGTACCTGAATATAGTGGACAAGGGATGAATTTTCATCGCTAGGATTTAGGCCTTCTGCAGGATAGAAGTAACTTACGCCTCTTTCAAGCTTAATGACTCTATTTGTCAAATGCTGAGAAGGGAACAGAGCTTGGCATATAGGTTGAGGACCGTTAAAGAAAATATCTTCAATGTGATGGATCATTAACTCTGCTTCATTTGGTTCAACATTCCCTGGGAGGATTAATATTGGAGCAGTAATTTATCAGAGACTGATGTCAAACATCTTCAGTTCAGTATAGTGTTTCATTAAAATATAAGAACCTGTAATGTAACACTCTAAGAAGGTCCTTGAAAGCATCAGAGGAACAAATTTGGAAAGATTATCCACTTCAAGATGAGGAAGAACTTCAAGTCCATCAATCCAAGGCCATGTTTGATCCTCTAGTATCAATGAGCAGTAGTACATAGCTTGCTGATACGGTTGTTGAAACTTGAAATTTTGATAGTCTTTTGTTACCATTTCCTACAAGGGGCCAAAAATATGAATAATATAGAAGTATTAAAAAGTTTTGAAGAAAACATCAATTATCAGCATTTTACAAGCAGAACAGCTTAAACAAGTTTGAGTTTCAAAATTTTAACAATTAATCTTAAGTAGGAGTTTCCACATCTTAACAATGAATACAAGAAAACTATGTATGACAAGCATAGAATAAAGATGAGATCTCAAATTTGTCATGTGTTATCCAACTATTAGTTTCAAAGCTAACCAACTTTAGGCTAAAAAATATTCAGTAGATAGTACCGCTTAACATGTAAACAAGACCTTCCAGCATAAGGGGCCTCAATTGTAATATATTCTTCTTAATTAAATTACTAATCTGTTTAAGAAAAGAACAAGGCAAAGAAGATGAATAAAAGATATTGAAAAGAAACTATAGGTTCTAACTTCATAATAATTACTAGGATAATTTACAAATACACCCCCTGAGGTCTATTAAAAATCCAGATTCTCTGCTCACATTGGAGAAATTACATCCCACCCCTTGAAGTTTCCAATCACATAACAAATAGACCCTCTGTTAATCAACCACTAAGTCAAACTAACAGAGAGTAGGACATAAGAAACAATTTTCCTTTTTCTTTAAAAATACCTGTATTAATCTTTATGAAGGTATACACTTTATTTTCTTTTTCCTATTTGACCTTTCTTATTCCCCTTTTCTCTCAACTAGTAACACCACTTTGCCCAACCATTGCACCAACATCTCCCACTATCGATTAGCACCACCATCATTATTGTCTACAAACATTTGGTGTGTCGTCGAGGAGTGTAGGAGAATATTGTACTGGTGTAGAGAGAGGGATTTGGTGGTGGGTTGATGAAAATGAGGGTAGTATGATAATTTCATTTTGGTAGTAGAGAGTATTTTGGTAAATTCATTTTTTCCTATAGGTTAATTGCAAGAAAAATTCTGACAAGGGAGTATTTCCAAAACATGAGGGGGGAATCTGCATTCTGTACAAACCTCAGGGGGTGTATTTGTAATTTACCCTAGTTAATAACGATAGTGGAACATTTATACAAATAAGGCTAAACTAGTTGGGTTCAACTTTTGTAGGATGCTGTTGAGACCCTTTCACATCACCAAAAGCATAAAAATATAAAACATACATGCACCTTGGAGGATGTACCATACAAAACTACTCAACTGAACAAGACTTTATCCCAGTGGGGTAGGCTACATAGATTCATTTCCTCTAGTTGATTGATTCTATTCAAAATCATATCCTCATGGAAAATAGATTAAATGTAGTCATTTGATCTAATGAGTACCTTGAAAATTTTACAAATTCAATGACTCGAATCTTTTTATTACATGTGTTTACTATTTAGGCAGATTGCTGTCACCCACTTCTTACTAAGAAACTGAAAGAGACCACAAAAACGAAGAAATTGTGAAAAGTAAGAACGAGATGTATAAATATAAACAACTTAAAAAGCATTAAGCTCAAGGTAATCACAAGTTCACAACCTTTCTTATCATCATAGCCCATGTACTTGGCTTTCCTCTATTTATTTTACCACCCTCCTTATAGATTAAACCACTCTTAAAGGAATGTGAGTCGGATTACGATATACATAAGCACACCATCTCAAACAGAATTCCCTTATTTTATCTTTAATTGGTGCCGCTTCTAAATTCTTCACAAATGAATTCATTTCTTACAGCACCATTCATCCATCTCATCATTCTCATTTCAGCTACACTTCTTCTTAAACATGTTATTCCCAACTTCCGATACCACATATCATAGCAAGTCTCATAGCAATCCTATAAAATTTTCCGTTCAACTTAATATTTATAGTTTTTATGGAAATCATAGAACCTATACCCTTTAGATTCTAAAGTATCTCTTCATAATTATAGCTTAAAATCTACTCCTCTTGTTTCACTAACAAAAACTCTATCACCTGGCATCTGCAAATATTATACACCAGGGGAAATCTTCTTTAATGACACTAGTAAGATCATTCGCAACTAATGCAAAAGGGTAAGTGCTAATCTAAGAAGGAAGGACGGATATAGACACATGACATGGCAAAATGGAAAAAAGACATGGTTATTGACAAGTGTACAATGAGTAACGTATTGTGTTAGAGTCCAACATATCACACCACCACCTTAAAAGTGCATGTTTTTTGTAAGTGCTGATCTTTGATGTAAACCTATTGTTATTGAAAATTTGCTTTTGTCCCCGTACTGTTCTTACCCTAGTCAAGGCTCTACTGAACATACCTCTAATTACATCAATATATCTTTTACTCATTCTTTTTCAAAAATTCTCGAAATTATTTCTCTAGAAACCCCATCGTGTACTTTTTTTGAGTCAACAAACACCATATGTATGTGACTTTCTTTTCCCTATATTTTTTCATTAGTGGCTTAAGAAGAAAGATAACTTCCATAACAGATCTCCAACGCACAAAACCAAAATGATTTTCTACAACAGTTGTTTCATGTCTTAATTTGTGACAAATTAGTCTCTCATAAAGTCTCATTGTATAACTCATGAGTATCATACTACGATACAACAGTTAGTCCAACTTTGAATGTCATTTGTTCTTATAAAATCAATTAACAAAACTGTGCTTCTTCAGCAAACAATTCTGAACTTCAATATGAATACCATCTGACAACTCCTTTGACGCCCATTTGATATTGTGAAAAAATTTATAATGTCAGCCAGAGTTATCAAATTGTCCTAAACTCAAGTTTTTGTAGAGGTTTTCATTAAAAAGCTTTTCAAAATAACTCCACCACTCCTTAATCCCATATTCCATACGTAGCACTCTCTCATCTTAACCCTTAATACGATTAACTTGGTTTAGGGTTCCACCTTTGCTTTCCCATATCTTGAAAAAATTATGTCTCTTCTCCATTCTTAGAATTTAACTTAAGATAAAGATCATCAAGCCTCCCTAACTATTTTCTTGGCTTCGATTTTGACTACTTTATATCTTTTAAATTTTTTGTTATTCCTAAATGCATTGAAAGCTTTGTGACAATCTCTTTTTGTTTTGATTACCTTTTAACCTTCTTCATTCCTCCACCAAGAACTTTTTCTATTTTCTAAATACAGCCACCATTTCACACCACATAGAATTAGTTTACTCATTCGAAGTCCATTTTCCTTAATCATTCTGTTCTTAAAGTGAGATAAAGTGCATGCTTACTTCCCCATCTCTTCCTCTCCCATCTCCTAATACATACATCACTCAATACCATTAACTTATGTTGTGTAGTGAGGTCTCTCCTACTACTTTACAATCCTTGTATCTTCTTTATCAACTCTCCCGATAAAAGATAAATTTTTAAGTATTCATCCCTCTTCTTAAAGCATGTGTTTGTTATGACAAAGTCCATTCGGCACTAATCATTTCTCCAAATCCAAAAACTCCATCTACTCTCAAATCCCCCACTACCTCTCCCTACATGGCCAATAAGATCAACACCTCAAAAAAACACTCTGCTTGGTATCCCTTCTACAAACCCTCCCAAAGTTGTCGTTTAATAGATTAATCTAATCCTATTTGGGGTGCATAAAAACTATCATATTTAGTGTCTCTTCTCCTAACACTAATTTTACTAATTTTAATCTAATTTTACCTCTCTTGTTTCCTTTTTTCTTTTTATTACGGTCCAAAAAAAGAAATGAGCACGAGAGGTAGAAGATTATAGCTACAAGTAGTGTAGAAAACTAATTTCCATGTGCTGGGCATTCCACCTAATTGATATGACCACAACTATACTTTGGCATCAATAATAGCAACACAAATTAGCAATCGCAAAAACAAAGACAAGGAAAGATATAGTTTTAAATCTGTAAAAGTTATCTGAACTGTAATCAACTTTAACTACTTCGGTAAACTTGTACAATAGATTTCCTCTATTCACCAATGTTTACAACATAGAAATGCAAATCACATAAGGAAGTCTCCAAAATGTTCCAAACATTCTAGGATAGAGCTGTCTGTTGAACTTTCAACATGTCTTAACGCACAACACTTCCTTGACGAGAATACGAAGTGGCTAAGTTTAATTTGGATGTTGAGAGAAGTAACAGGAAATCATACTTCAACTTCAAGTCAAATCTATGCTATACTTCAATCTTACATTTAGATTTTCATTCCAAAAGGAAAATAAAATGGTCATGTTGTAGTGATCCATGTGAAGAACACAATAATAATGAAAGCAAAAACAAAAACAAAGCCATCCAACAATATAGTGGTAAAAATGCTAGTCAAACTAGATCCAGCAGAAGACCAACAGACCCAGTAAACATGCAATCTATGGGAGTCTAATTATGAAGGCCTGTTGTAAGAAAATTGAGCATATGACAGTAAAAAAATTGTCTGCAGACTTGATATGTAGTTTATTCCTGCAAAATTGAATATAAATATGAAAAGAGGAGGAAACATTAGGGATCATTAAAACTCTAAAGTTTCATAGACTCCCTATAATGTAATGCATTTTTGTCCAACATGGGCCCTTTCTTTAATAGCTTCAGCTTTCGGGGCAACTAAATACCAAACATGGTATTAGAGCTTTCGGTTATGAAGGATCACAAGCTCAAGTCCCCCATGGGTATTTGTTTCCCCCTTCTGCAGAAAGGACCACATGTAAGGGAGGGCATGAGATCTTGCTACACATTGCCCATTCTAGAATAGCTTAAGCTTCTAGCTCAATTGGTTACCTAAACCAACATAACCAAGCCTATGTAACAAAACAACACAGTAACTCACTGCAAAAGTTAGCAACCAAATGTTATGTACTACAAGTCCACTTCCTTTTTTTGACCAAAAGTAAAAAACACTAAACATAAGAGATAAACTTGATGAAAATAGAGTTTAGTTGTATCCAATTGCAGACAAGGAACATAGATCCTTACCTTGATCACAGCGAACCTTTCAGGCTTTACTTCAAACTTTGCAATCTTCTCAACAACTGTTTCCAGTAAGATCCTTAGTTTGTGATTATAACCAACCACAGTCACCTAAAATCAAGAGAAAAATAAAGTTCATAAATACAAGGGTATTAGGTATTTAGCATTCTTAAACTACCTTGGGCAACAGCACAGGAATCAATCTATACGAAATACCCTTTAAGATAACAGGGCAGAGCATTTACATGAATAAATTAACAAAGAGCTTAATCTGTAACTTGTCTATGCAGAATTGAACTCTCTAGTCCAATTATCTAAGTTAAAGGGCAGACACTAAGTTAGGCATGCAGCAAGATTGGAATGATAGAATAGAAATCTCTGTAATGTTTTTGATAAGCAAGATAATCCACAACACTATAGAGACGCAGGAGATGCAGGAGCCGCCATCTATATCAGCCAACAAATGATAGGCTAGTGGGATGGGCTCGTTCACCTAATCAGTGAACCCTGGACCTACCTAACACAAACATAGAAGTCCCTGAAATACGGCATTGGTTGATCTGAAAGCTCAGGCAGGAGTAGGACATTCCATACAAATCTTTCTGATCGGCAGGCTGGTGGTCTTCTCAAATCACATTTTAAAATCGACATGCTGGGTCAATTCAAAGGTTCATTACAGTTAGCACCTTCTACTTGAGGGCTGCATGGTTGGCATGTGGTGGCACCTTGCGCCCATGTCCAACCAAGACCATGGCATGATGGTGGCATGCCAAGACAGCAAGGTGGGTGCATGATAGTGTTGTGTGGCAGTGGGGCACTGAATCCTTGGACAAGTGTGGACTACAAAACAGATGCAAGGCAAGAAGCAAGACTTAGCCTGAATGCAGGCATGTGACATACTTGGGGGTTCAACACAATCAGTGGGACATGGTCTGGTGGCTAAGGCATCCAAATTTGTGGTTAGCTGGACTGATTAGACAACAAGGCAGTTAGTGGCAGCTGGCTGACAGAGGCAGTTATGAGTTGGGACAAAGACAAGGCAAGGCAGAAATATAGGGAGGCAGTTCATGGCAGTTGGGCAGTTATGCAGACAAGGATTGTGCTGGCAACATTTGAAATCCTTTGGCAATTGGGGATGTCAACTGCCATGCCATGCGGCATGTTCTCATTTGTAATTTCTGTTGCCTTTGTGACTGATTGTAGCCTTTAATTAGGCAAGGCCATGGAACTTGAAAATCAGTCAAGTATTGGAGAGTCTTCCACTGGCATTTCTTCGTAATTTTTGGTGCAATAATAAAGGTTAGGAATTTCCTTTAATTGTGTGTGCCTTCTCTCTTGTTCAAATTCATTGTGTGCGCGACTGTGTGGGAAAAATTGGCTGAGAGCAAGTGTTGGATCTTGGTGTCATCACACGCTAAAACTGAACTCTGAAAAATAGTGTTGTGACACTTACTCTGGTTACAAAGCAGAAGAAGAGGGAGCATGGACACAACCCCACTAGTAACCCATATTTCCAACCCGAAAGGAATTTAATATGAAAAAAGAATCTGTGTGCACTATCTATGAAGTGGAGTGACTATCCTTAATTTACTCTTCCTTATCTCCCCTAACAGATGTGTCACACCCCGATTTTCAAAGATCAATTGGACAAAACTAATTAATCTAAGCACGAGATTTTTAAGTAAAAACTCTCTTTATTACTTTGTTCATTCTCAAATCACTTTCCTTAACCAATTCTCACTCAATTATGAAAATTAGGGTTGTCTCGTAAAACGTGCCCAATGGCCTTTTGTTGTATGAAGTTGGAAAACATGTCCATTTTTCCTTTATAGAGCCTAACTTAACCTTAGGTGACAAAACAAAGTGTTTTTGATAAAATTTGACTTGCATTGGGAAGTGTGCCATTTGATAGTTTTTGAAATAATTCACCTCTTAAACTCTAGTGTTCTCTCACATACTAAAGACATCCTCACTTGGAGCGCAAATCCATAAAATGAACTACATGTAATAATGGAAATAAATGTTTAAGTTACAAACCTAAAATTAATTAATATAATAATTCGACAAAAAATTGCCAAGGCACGTAGACCCAATTAACCAAGGTCTAAACTTAACAAAACAAACTACGTCTCGATGCTCATGCCGGCGAGTGTCCATCGGTACCCACATAATGCAAGAGTGAGTATTGACACTCACCCAACAGTATTCTCATTTCTTCAGTAAACATATTAGTGTTATGACAGGTAAAATTATGCAATGAAATGTCCAATTTCGGGATTAACTTACTTAATCTTATTAAGTCCATCTTATTTAATTAACTCACTAGAATAATTGAATAAAAGAAATAATCTAAAATCAATAATTGCCAATAGGGCAATAAACTAGGCCTCACCAACATATACCATGTCCAAGCCATAAATAATTACATAATATGTCCTGCCCTGATCATGCCCCAGGCTCCCTCCGAGTTGCGTGTCGAAAAGAAACTCTATCCTCAACCATCGAAGGCTACTACTCTAAATTGCTAGTGTCTGGGAATCTAACCCGCAGATAGTCAGATCCACTATCTTCCCCAAGCGTACTGGACCACAATACTGGCTACAACCCAATAACCCAAGCCAAGCCCATCAAATCAATAATACCAGGACGCGCCCAAAAAACAACTAAGTATAGTAAATACCAACCCTAGTTATTTAATACTTAGTTGGATTCCCACTTTTCCATGAGTAATTTTTCAACACTGAGAATTTTTTTTTTTTTTTTTTTTTTTCTTCATCAATGCTTTTTTTCATCATCAATGCTCTTTCTAGCCAATTTCCCCCTAGGGCTATAATAGTAATATACACTTAGTGTGAAATGACCAATATGCCCCTAAGGCACAATTTTACCAAATTACCCTAAGATGTTAATTACCAAATTACCCTAAGAGATTACCAATGTCCCCTTCATTAACCTCAAGTTAATTTCCTATGTTGCAATTTCAGTCAAATAATCCCAAATATTCCCAAATGACAGTTTGACCCCTAAAGAGCCAAAATCACCTTTTTGCCCTTATTAAGTCCCAAATTCATTAAATAATTCAAACAAGTCAAAAACACAACTAAAACAAAAAAAAAAGAAAAAAAAAAAAAGAAAAGAAAACTAGTCCTAGAAACATATAAGTTTAAGAAATTATTAAGCAAAACTAGTTTAAAAATTATAATATAAATAGTAAATCAACACTAAATCAAATCATCTTTTAGACTAACTCATTTTATCCCATGGTTAATCTAATTACGTTATTTTCCCCAATTTCTCATCACTTTAAATAATTCTAAAAAATTTAAATTTGTCCAAATTATATGTTCTTTATACCATTAGTCACCAAACATACCATAGAACACACTTTGTGAGATTTGAACAAAAAGCCCTAAATGAATGAAATAATACTTTTCATAAATTCAAGATAGATATAACAATATTACATTCAAAGTTCATGAAATCACATAATAAGAACACCTTTAGAGATTTCAAGGCAATAATCCAACTCTTAACTCAAAACTGTCTCAAGAAGGCATGGATCAACCAAATAACTCATGGTTTGGAAGAAATACACTATCCTTCTTCCATAGATAAAATCATGCCACAAATTTTGAAACAAAACCCTAGCATGCTTTCTAAGCAAGAGATGAGGAAACCCATACCTTTACTAGAAGCTTTCAAACAAATGAGGAAAAAGAGAGAGAAGTTGGATGATCTAGCTTCAAGTGTTCCAAAGCACTTCAATTTCTTCTCCAAGTTTCAAATGTTGCTCACCAACCTTTTCACAAATACATAGTAATCTTACAAGGAAGTATGCTTTCCAATCCTCAAGTACGAGAGAAGGATCACCAATCTAACGGAGGTGGAACCAAAACCTTAGCACTAACAATGGTGGAAATGCAACACAAAAGAGAGGAAAATGAGAAAAATGATGGAGGAGGTGGTCTTGGTTTGGGAGAGAAGTAGAGAGGAAAATCAGATTTTTGTGTGTGGCTTTTCCTCTCTCTAAAAGCCTTGAATGAAGTAAATAAAAGATCTTTTTCTCTCTCTCTCCAAAGTGTAACCCATGTCTTCCAGGTGAAGATCAATTAAGCCTCTCATTAAACCTTAATCCAACTTTAAATCAATGGCCAAGATTTGATCTTAGGTAGGACAGAGCAATCCTAACCCCTTTATTTTGAATTCCATAGAATTATACACACTTATACACATATAAGTACACTTGCACAAAAGTAACTTAGTTTGCACAAGCATTAAGGTGGTCTTTCTATTTTCATGAGAGAAGTTCAGCCAAGCCACCTAGGGGATAGCAAAATGTATGTAAAATGCACTATTAGGCGTTTTGGACTTCTCTCCATAACCCTAGCTAAAATCTTTAAAGTTTGTACGTCTTCTATACTAGAATTGCACGAAATTCGTAGGGATGACTAAAATAAATAAAATACACATAAATAACACGAAATCAATAATTAATGGGCTCCAAGAGTCAATCTCTTGAATCTCAAATCGGATTAGGCCCAAGTGCACATAGAACGAGACAAATTGTGCGCTGGAATTCCTAATTCACCAACATGTCTCCAAATTATTAAATGGCATTGTGTTAACATATTAACATCTAATACCAGGCCCGATGAGTCCATCTCTCGAACCTTGTGCCAATTCGAGCGCAAGTGCACGTAACTCGAGACGATTGTTGCACTACCTTTATCAATAAGCAATTAAATTATAATTTGAAAAGATCAACCCTATGGTCACATTAAATAATCTATTGGGGCCGGTGGATCTTCAAAGTTTCCGGCGAGTTTTCCGGTTCATTCGAATTTTCCAGCGACGTTCTTGGACCCTCTTACATTTTGGTGACTTCACTGGAGAGGCGAGTTGGTTAATTGTAGCAATGAGATTTGGAACACATACTACTCCATCAAAAGCAATGGCAAAAGTTCATCAATATGAAGGTTTCTTTGGGAAGGCGAGTTGGTTAATTGTAGCAATGAGATTTGGAACACACACTACTCCATCAAAAGCAATGGAAGAAGAAGTTCATCAACATGCAGGTTTCTTCAATGATGATGAGAAACTCAAGCCCAAGC